CACACACACACACACACACACACACACACACACACACACACACACGGTTTGAAAGTTGAGGCGAGGCCTTCTTGTGGCACTTTGGGGCTTCAGCTGTTGCACGTTTGCTTTGAGACGATCAGCAGAACAACATGAAGGCTCAGATCCTGGAGGATTTCAAAGTAAAAGCACAGCAGGTTCATCAAAGCAACTCCTGTACTGCAAAAAAAGCTAAATAAATAAAAAAGATCACATAAACACTTAGCTCCTGCTGTTTCCCCATCATTATGGCMTTTTGTTGGGGAGCGACCCCGCTCACTTTCTGAAACAAAGCTGGGCGGGCCTTGGTGGCAGGAAGGTCAGCACCAAGCAGAAGTCCAGGCCACAGGGGTGGGTGGGTTTACTGTGGCAGCTTGCAGTTAAGAAGGAGGATTATGTGTGTGTGTGTTTGTGTGTGCGGTTACGTGTGTGAGGAGGGATAGGGTGCCGGTACGGCGGGGCAAATTGTTTTAACCCCTATTACGGCGGCGGCATGGCGCTTCTCTTATCTGGGCCTCTGCAGCCACTCATTAATATTCTGTACATATGGCAGTGCTTTCTGTATCATTGTCTATTAATGGGAGGGATAATCGCTCATTCAATTATCAGGCAGTCAGGAAAAGACCAACTGTGCCTGCGCGGGCCCAGTTCACGCCGYGCCACAGCCCAAAAACAGAGCCGTGCCAGTGGGAAGGTGAGTGCGATAGCRGGGATTACAACATATTAGCTACTTTAATATGTTAAGCGTGGAGTGATGTGAAGCAAATAGAGGATGTCTTCAGCGGGCGAGAAACAGGCCTGAACTTTGTAACAACAAAGCAGAAAAATATCACCGGWGTCATGATCCACGCGGGGTTCTCATCTCTCCAGCCTCAGCAGCTTCTCCTCTGTTACCAATCTGTGGTCCAGGAAGGGTTCATTCGGYGGCTCTGATGTCCGCAAGTCAAAGATCTGAGGAGGGATCAGATTGAGCCGGGGGCCTCGGGACGCTCCGAGGCCACGGCCTGGAAGTGACGAGGTCACCGACGATAGTGTGACCTCCGGCTGCTTTGACCCGGAGCGACCTCGTTGAGTCAACACGAACCCAGAAACGGCGAGCGAAGTGMAGGAGGAGAGCTGGAATTAGAGTTGCTTAGTGAGTTTTTTTTATTTTGAAGAAGGTGGGTCATGGAAGTGGGACTGAAGAGCCCCCTCCCTGTAACGGTGATGTTTTGAGGGAGAAAGAAGGGAGGTGAAATGTTAACAAAAAAAAATTGTATGAAATCCGTAGTTTGATAAATTTTCGCGCGCTGAATGAGGCGGTACAGGCGGCCGAGGCTGCGGTGGAGGGGCCTTTGTTGGAGGTCCTATTTTCTCCGGCAGAGCGGCGCGCTCACAGGGTCAGCGAAGTTACGAAAGTAATTAAAGCTCGGCGATTCACCGCCTGCTGCAGAGAAAAGAAAGCAAGCTGTCATTCTGATTTAGAAAAATAAATTACAATTTTAATAATGGGGGGGGGGGTGTAGGGGTGTGAGAACGACTGGAGCCTTGGCGAGCAGACTTGGGGGGCAGGGAGGCGGAGGAGGAGGAGGGCCTGTTGGGTGGGGGGAGGGGTCGAGGGGGTTGCTGGCTGCCTACTTATCAATAGTTGCAATTTTTTTTGAAACCACATCGGTAGTACATTGCGGGAGCACAAGTGCCCTTAAAAAAAGAAAACGGTGGAACATTAACATACTGATTTCAT